TTTTTTTTTTTTTTTTTTTTTTTTTTTTTTGCGGGGGGGGGGGGCCAAGGCCCGCTCGGCCCCCCCCCTGGATCCGCGCCTGCATGTACCTATGCTATGGTGGAAAATATATTTATTATCATTCGCAAAAATTTACAAACTAGCACTTGATACTAATGATGGTATTGACGGAATCATTTTCTTGGTTGATAATACACTCCTTGGCCTTCGATACTATTGTTTTGCATTTATTGTTGACTCGGAGAATGTGATTATTCTTGGGGAATACAAACAGTATCATAATTCCCCCTCATAGCCTTTAGTATGATCAAATATTTTTTGACTTAATAATTATGGAGCAAAACGGTCAAAACATACCTAGAGGAATGACCATGAGTATGAATCCCCTAAAATGTTGTACTCTACGACCCTTTTTCATCTGCAGCCATGGAGGGTGTCTGTATGTACGTCTGCTAATGCGATCAACGTACAAGGATTCATTGATGAGCTCCCTGGCAAGTTCCCCGACCTAGGCTTGGACTTCCAGTACTACGAACACCATACAATGACATAGATCTTTTGGGTTTTCAAAGGCTCTGATGTTAACATCATGATACTCTGCCATTCTATCAACAACAGAAGGTTTGCCATCACGGATGTCATGGACGCCCTCTACGACAAATTCTTACCCAACTCTCTGCCAAAATTCTAGGTTTGTTCACAGATTCACAAGATCCGGAATACGCAATAACATTTACACAAATAACATTTATTAGTAGAAATTGACAATTGTTGTGACAAGCATTTATTTGTAAATGAAGAACGTGCATTTTTCGCCGGTACTAAACTTTTAGAAATAAAAAGTTAATTGACTTTTCATATAAATTTTTGGTATAGAATATTTTAAGCTTATTTGCATATGTGTCATGTTCATACATGCGTGCGTATGTGTACTTAGCGTCATTTTAATAGCGGAGGTGTGGTGTGTGTGTGTGTGTGTGTGTGGTATGGGGGCTTCTTATACAATTGATATTCGGGCAGCACTTACTTCACATGGGTTGGTGAGGTCTTTCTATTTGGCGAAATTAGACTGAAAAGCAACAAATAGATATGTTAATGTACATGTACATGTAGTCCACCAGTATAAGTGAATGTCATCAAATAATGTGTCTAAACTTTTTCTTGCTATGCTAGCACGTAAGTTTTTAGATATATGGATAAGGTTTATTTTTGGCAATGACCTCAGCTCCCATGGCAAAATTGTGCTCGAAAGACTTGGCTATATGTTAGGGGAAATGTATGTTCCTTAAATCTTTCGCCATTTTTATTTTTCACCTTCCGATCTACTCAGGCAGGCCAGATTTTGTGTGATAGTACATGACTTCCCCTCTAATAAGGATCTGAGAGCCCCTGATAGGTATAAAGCAGAGATGGAGACCTTTGGAAGCATGCAAGGTACAACGTTTAAGCATTCTTCCTGGCATGATGTGCGGTAAGCTGGATGGACCTGTCGAGATGCAGGAAACTAACTGGGAAGACTTGAAGGAATTTCTGGTGAAGGCTGCCACTACTTTTCCCATCCCATCAAAGCCACCTTTGGATTTCTGTCGAAAGCAATGGCTAGCCATATTGTTTTTTTATTTTAGCGATTGTAGCGGTTACTGTTGGTCTAGGTGTCGGACTGGGCAAATCCTCTCCCTCTGCAACTACCACCCCAACCCTACCCAGATCGACTCCTACAGTTGCTAACCACTCCTACAACAATCTCTCCTAAAGAACCCACTCAGGCCCCCTACAACTGTTCCGACCCTTGGAACAGACACCCCACCAAACCCTACAACTGTTCCGACCACTGGAACAGACACCCCACCAAACCCTACAACTGTTCCGACCACTGGAACAGACACCCCACCCAACCCTACAACTGTTTTGACCACTGGAACAGACACCCCACCAAACCCTACAACTGTTCCGACCCCTGGAACAGACACCCACCAAACCCTACAACTGTTCCGACCACTGGAACAGATACCCCACCAACCCTACAACTGTTCCGACCACTGGAACAGATACCCAACCAAACCCTACAGCTGCCAACAATCATCCCGTGCTCGTGGCTAAGGTTTCATTCTCTTTTCTTCTAACAACTGTCTATCATTCTACCCTGAAATACGCTGCAATACAAAAGCCATTTTTTACATAATATACATACAATGATTTTTATGATGGCTTTTTTTATTCACGGTACGTATTCACTGATCATACCAGTCACTAACTACATCTGATTATTATATACCGGATAAAATATGTCAGAGCTATTTCTTTGCAACAAGTATAAAACATAATTTATATTTATATTTGTATTTCATAATTCGTCAAATGTGTTAAACTCGCTTTTAGTCATGATTTTGTTGTTTGGAAAATTCGATGTTTATTACAGAGGTAATCTTAAATCATTCGTGCTATATTTATCTCTATAATAGCACGCAACTGAGAATAAACAAAACAAGAGGAGCATGGAGTGGATAAATCATGTATTGGCAATTATTATCACAAAGGGTTTCGTCATCTTTCCAAGTCGCCATTTCTCTTCCCGGTACGGAGTGGCAAATGTAGATTAATGCCTTACCAAAGACATTGGTTCCGTGTCGGCGATGAAACCTTTGTATATACAAACAAGTGCTCAGCCACTCGACTACAACACCTCTTGTTTTAGTAATATTGATATAGTATTGACATACTTTCTTGATTTGATGCAAATCTTTCGGGCTTGTGAGATTGGTATAGTTCATCATGTACTAATAGTTTTCTTCTGATTCTGTGATTGTGTCTTTTAGCGAAGTTATTGTATAATAATAATTATAATAGTGGGTTCTTGTATAGTTCTCATGTCTCTCATACGTGACACTCCTGGCGCTCCCGATTATTATCCTGGCTTTAGCACGGATGCCATACGGCGCTCTCAGCATTTCAGGGAATTAATTCCTGCCAGTTACCCATTTACATCACCTGGGTTGAGTGTGGCAAATTTAGATCAATGTTCTGCAGGACATTAGTGCCGCGGCGGGACTCGTACCGCGGACCTTGTGATCGACAGTCCGGTGACATATCCACTCGACCACGACACCTCCTCACCTATTTGGTGTAATAGACTTTAAAAAAAAAAGTATTTCGGGTTTAATTGCTTTTTGAATCTGTATTCAGTATTTGTCATTACAAGGTGGTCTATTTTTTTTATTGTGACGTATCTACATAACCAAAACTATTATCTTACCATGCTTATTGTTAATATTCCCGTCTTTGTATATTGATCTCTATACCATCTTGGTTTGAAAAAGAGATTAACAGTTGCCAAAGAATGAAAAATTATATAAAGAGTAATATATGACAATTCAACAAAATGATTTTTTTAAGTGCAACGAAATTAGGCTCAAAGTTATGATTGCGTTCTCCCTGCATATGTTCAATAATTCTGTTAATTTATAAACTGTTAATTATCAATTGTTTATTTTTTTTACGTATTTAACAGTAATTTGTTAATGTCTGAAAATGTGTTTTATACATATATTTTTTGTAATATTAGATTATTTAGTATTATATTATTGAACGCTATATTGAAATTTTAAAAATAAATATATAAAAAATGAAATACAAAATTTCAGTCCTGTATGCAAATTTGGAGAAAACTCGAAATTGTAGATGATACAGTGACCTCAAAACATAGGCTATCTTATCGTGGAACATAATTAAAAAAAAAAAAACCAAGGGCAACAATATGTTGTCCTTTCATCACTAATTTATTCACTTCAGTCAAATATTGAAAATAAAGTGTGGGCAAGTCATAATAGCAGCAAAGTATTCATTCTGTTAAGCACTTTGTACTAAAGTCTGCATAAACTAGTACAATTAACTACTGTTTTTGGTGGAAGTGTACGTCAGTGTATCATTTTTTTCTTGTGTGTTTAGTTGAATAATATCAGCATCATTTCTTGTATCCATTTAGTTTTGTTTTAAATTTATATTGCCTCAACTTGGGGTCGGATGTGTTGAGAGTGAATGAGAATAGGTTATAGCCGGGCAGTGTGTATACCAGACAGGTCAAAAGATCTTTTAACACTGTTCTGTACTGGCAGTATATATTAGCCTGAGAAATTAAGACTCAACAACAGGGAAATCCTTAAATGTTTTATGAGCGAGAAGATGATATCTAAATTTGAAATAGTATTAAGTTCAATAACATTTTTTGTCAAACACATATTACGGCAATGAAACAAAAATATTGACAAATAAATAGTAGTGCATTCATAGAACATTAATTAAGTGTCTAGTACCAAAATACATGTATAGCCATGTAATGACTGTTACGCACACGCAAAAATATAATGTTATACCATGAACAACTCTCACAAGGCCACGCCAACAATTTATATTGAGACGTAAGACTCACATTGTGTACGATTCAACCACAGAATCAGGGAATCCCCGGGCCGACTCGGCTGAGTACTTACTTGCGCGAGCGCGAGCGAGAGCTGACGTACGCCAAAGGTCAGGTACGTTTCCAAGCATCACAATGGGTATTTGGGAATGTTCACATTCATGTCCGCCGTGTTAGAACAGATCTGCATAGACGTAGACGTTAGCAGCAATGTAACTGCCAAATTAGGTGTATCAAGATAGTGTTGTTAACAAAGCTGACAGAACTCAAGGCCCACGACTAACACACTTAAAAACCAGGATATCGACCTTTGATTATGACAGACGTGATGTCGAGAGATAACTACGAAACCTTTCAGAGAGATACCAAGGTAAGGTGCGATGGGGTGTTGGATGTCCGGACACCTAACAAACATAAAGTGATCTCTTTGCCTGATCGATTGAACGAAAATGAACATGAATAGCACAAACAATCATGAATTTTTCTGCTTTATGAAACTGTCCAATACATCTTACAAGATTAACGATAAACTTTAGTACTGGTAATGCGATTGTATTGTGAAAGAACAGGTGTGGAAAGGATCAGAAACAGTTTGATCATGTAGCATGTAAGTATTGGTGTGCACGGCAAGGTTCTGGAGTCATCAAAATCATAATAAATTGACCGAGTCTTGGTAAGTAACAAGTACTCTCACATATAAAGCTATATATGGGACAACACACTGGTGTCGGGGCTACCTTGATTTCCTTGTCTTTCTATGCTCATTACTCAGCAGTATACATTTTCTTCCAAAATTGTTTGGCACATGTCATTTATTTGTAATCTTGAACATTCAGTGTCAGTTTCGTTTTGATTCTGTAGAATTTTTTTTTTTTTTTTCCAGTACTGGAGTTTATCTTTATTTAGTATTGTTTGAAAACTTTTTCAAATTGCTGTTTAAAATCAACTGTCCGGATACCAACCTGTCCGGGCACACAGCGTCTGGGTATAATAAAGGTAAGAGTGAAAAATAGTATGTTTTTGCGAGGAAGCGAGAGAGTAGCAATGCAATGTATTTTCTTAAAGGAATATACATGTAACAAAGGGAATAGGAAAAGGAAGAGGTGGGGATTACCTTCTGAGACACGTGGAAATGAAAGGAGAGAGTGGGAGGGGTGAGTTTATTACACCATTCTTTAAGTTTGTATGTTTTCACGGAATGCATTGCATGATGGCATGTTCATAGTTCGTCAAAAATATAAGTCAACGAGACCCCTTTACCCCCCAACTCCCATAAGCACCTGAAAGTAATTTTCTCTACAAATTAAATCATGGATAGCGACCATATAAATCTTCAAAATCAGGCCAAATATTTGTTACTAGAAAATAATAATCATAAATTCCTTTTTTAGATGATGAGTCTTTCAAAAGTGAATTTAGCGTAACTGTCAAGGCGCTGTGTCCCTAGGAGTTCATAACAAATTTGATATAAAATCATTGTGATCACTCTTTTCAATCTCGGACAATAATGATAATGACTGAACATAAATATTCATGTACATGTTACTAAAGCTATGGTGAAAAATATATATATTATTATTTTTATTAGGCCTATCATTTGCGAACTAGCACTTGATATAAATATTAGTTTTTAAGCGACGGATAATAATGATGGTATTTACGGAATCGTTTTCCCCTGGTTGATAATCACACTCCTTGGACTTAATGTTTCTGCACTCGTGTCGACTCAAAGGATGTAATTATTCTTGGGGAATACACAGTATCATAGATATCCCCTCGCGGCCCTGTTGTATAAAAATAGTTTGGACTTAATGATTATGGAGCATATTACGGCTAAACATATCTAGTAGTAACATTATAATCCCCTAAGCGTTTCGTACTCAACTTTTTTTTTGATCTGCAGCCTTGAGGGTGTCTGTTTGTACGTCTGCTAATGCGATCAACGTACAGGGATTCATTGATGAGCTCCCTGGCAATTCCCCGACCTAGACTTGGACGTCCAGTACTACGGACTACCATACAATGACATTGATCATTTCGGAATCAAGGCTCTGATGTTAACATCATGATACTCTGCCATTCTATCAACAACAGAAGGTTTTTGCCATCACTGATGTCATGGACGCCCTCTACGACAAATTCTTACCCAACTCTGCCAACATTCTAGGTTTGTTCACCAGCGAAATAAATTTAGTAGAAATTGACGATTGTTTGTGACATGCATTTTTTCTAAACAAAGAATGTGCAGTATTTGTGCCTTGATTAAACTTTTAAAAATGAAAATATAATTGACTTTCATAAAAAAAAGTTTTGCTACAGAAAATTATAGCTTATTTGCATAGCTGTCATGTACGTACATGCGTGCGTATGTGTACTTACTACTTTAGTGTATGTGTACTTAGCGGAGGTGGTGTGTGCGTGTGTGTGGTATGGGGGAGGGGGCTATTTTCTGGGCTGTAGCCCACTGAGACTTCTTATACAATTAATATTCCTGCAGCACTTACTCCACATTGGGTCGGTTAGGTCTTCTCTTTGATTTATTTCAATATAGTACATGACTTGTATACTCTTTGGCGAAATTACACTGAAAGGCAATTTAACAAAAAAATATGTGTCTAAAGTTTTAACTCGCTTTGCTAGCACGTAAGTTTTTTGATATATGAAAATTTTATTTTTGCAAATGACT